GCACAGGACACTCTAGCCCCTGGTAGCTTTGCCCAATACCCTCTAGCCCCTCACAGTTGAGCCTAGTACCCTCTAGTCCCTCGTAGCTGAGCCTAGTACCATCTACCTTCTTGTAACTGAGCACAGTACACTCTAGCCCCATGTAGCTTAGCTCAATACCCTCTAACAAATATAAGTATCGAAGAACCTATATGGCATAAGATAAACAATGAAAAAATAAAGAAAGACATTAAAAGAAAAAGAGAAATTGGAAAATAGTAGTAAACACATAGTAATGAAATAGGGGACTCAGTCTCCATTCACCTTAAACAATAAACAACAAGGATCATATTACTCTCCTCGCTGGCACCCCCAGTGTTGGGGATACCCATCTTGCATTTATCCAGTCAATTCTGTCTTGCACTTATCCAGTCTTTACTGTATTCCATTCCCACACCTCCACCCCCATAGCTCAACACCGCCCATATGCCAAGACGTCGAATAGGCATGTTCTTCTCTCCCAGTTCTTTCAAAATTTCCTCTTTCCTAAACTCCATATTTGACCCATTACTGCTTCAGCTTTCACCACCCTGTCCCATACCTGAGCCTCGTTCTACAATATGTATTGATATATATTGATATGTACATACCAATATATATCAATACATATATTAGGTTGTCCAGAAAGTTCGTGCCAATTTATAAGGAACATTCAAAAACACGTTTGAATTTTACTATATATTTATTGAATGACATAGGTGCCATTTTGTTCCAAAACCTTTTCACCTTTTAAGGGATGTATGTTATTTGTTTTCAACCACTTCGATATATTCAACGTGTACCACCTACCAAAAATTGACATGGACTTTCCGGACAACCCAATACATATATACATATATGTGTACGTCTATTCGTACGTCTATAGATACGTCTATAGTTTATTGCATCGGACACGAAAAATTCGTAAACTTGGAGCTTCTTGTAGGGATGTACTCTTCATTTCTTTTTTTAGGTTTTTTTATTTGTTTTATTTCCTTGAAAGACAATCGATGAGAAGAGAAGGTGCGACGATTAGAATTTTGTAGAGTTTACTCCATTCGTCTTCTAATGAAACATTATTTTAAACTGGTACATCTGAAAAAGAAACGTCATTGATTACACCGAAATAGATTTACGATCTTTCATTTATTAATAATCTTATTTCTATTGTACCGAAAATAAAATGTATCGCGAATGTTTGTACGTCTATTTATTCTATTTGTTATGGTGGTTCAAACTGAAGCTCATTAAATGTGTTCGTAAAGCGTTAATAATATGCAAGTTTAAAATATTCCTACATGCGTGTAATGAACATCCTTGAATTCATTTTAACAATCTTTCAGTAACATCGAAGTAACTTTAATTTAATACCAAATTGGTTTAGGCAATGAACGACTAAGGTACTGTTTCTTCGGTGTGAAATTGTTATTATATATATTTATTAGAAGACTGAAAATCAAAGTTCATTCGAAGCATACATTGCTTGATTAAATTTTAAGATACGAGAGTATTGTCTTAAGAAAAGCTAGTATTTTTATTATATAATATAAAGGAAATAGAAATTTAATATACATAATAACTTACCTTCTTCTTCAGAATCAGATATTAGTGTAGCCTGCAACGAACTTTGTTTGGACAATGTTCTACCATGAAGTCGTGGTCTAGAAGGCGGGGACTGTTTGTTCCAGAGAGCTTCAAGTTGGTCAAAATGTTGTGACTGAGCAAGAGCTGCCTGCTCTGGACCAAGTCCAGACGGGCTATTTGTTAATCCAACTTTACTGAAATCATCCATGGAAGCGCTTACACTAAATCGTCGTTGTAAATTTTCCACCGAAGACGCTGATATCCCTGAGAAAAATATTATCAATTAAAAATCCATCAAAAACACAATTCCTCTTCTTAGTGGTTCAATATTTTGCGAATATTTAAATTGGAACGTGGTGAAGTATAATTACAGCGCATACATATTTTCTTTTATAGGATTAAATATTCATCACAATGATTCAGTATTATATTGACATAATACTTGTAACACTATATAGGGTGTCGCAAAAATGTTGGAGGTCCTTGAAGGGGGTGGTTCGGATGGTGATTTGAAACAACTTTTTCCTTGGCGAAAATGTTGTCCGAGGCTTCGTTGAGGAGATATTAACAGAAAACCCCGACCAATCAGAGCGCGAGCGTAGCGCGTAGGCTACGCCTACCGTGGGCGGTCCATCGGCATACTCGCCCTCTGATTGGTCAGTGTTTTCCGTTAGTATCTCTTCAACGAAGCCTCGGACAACATTTTCGCTAAGGAAAAAGTTGTTTCAAATCACCTCCACTCTGTATATACAGGGTGTCCTAAAAATGTTGGAGGTCCTTGAAATGGGTGGTTTGGAAGGTGATTTGAAACAACTTTTTCCGTAGCGAAAATGTTGTCCGAGGCTTCGTTGAGGAGATATTAATAGGAAACCCTGACCAATCGGAGCGCGAGGATGCCGGTGGACCGCCCACGGTAGGCGTAGGCTAGGCACTAGGTGGCCGCCCTCCACTAACATCCTCGCGCTCCGATTGGTCGGGGTTTCCTGTTAATATCTCCTTAACGAAGCCTCGGACGACATTTGCGCTAAGGAAAAAGTTGTTTCAAATCACCCCCCGAACGACCTCGTTCAATGACCTCCAAGAGTTTTGGGACACCCTGTATAAGAGTCCCAATGGGAAAAGGGTGTTTAAAAAATCTCTACAGAACCCCATTTTTCCCCACTCTTTTCAAGGAACTCCAATATTTTTGGAATACCTGGTACAATACATACAAGGTGTCCTATTTTATTTTGTACACCATAATAACTCGAAAATATGGTGTTTTAGTAAAAAATGTTTCAACACAATTTTGACAAACCCTCTATGTCACCGATATACAGGGTGTCGCAAAAATGTTGGAGTTCCTTGAAAGGAGTGGGTCAGGGGGTGATTTGAAACAACGTTTTCCTTACCGAAAATATTGTTTCAAATCACCCTCCAAACGATCCCTTTCAAGGACCTCCAACAATTTTAGGATACCCTGTACAGTAAAGTCTCCATAAATGCACAAGCTCGGGACAGATCTTGTGCGTTTATAGTAGAGTTCGTATATTCTCTGATGTTTGCCGACGAGCTTCGAATGTAGAGAAGGACAGGGAATAAAGAAGAGAACGGAGCGAAAATACCAGAGTACATCGTTGAGACAATTTAATGCAACGGTGAAACCTTCTTATTATTAATTTTTTTGTTGCAAAACTTTCACCATCATATTCCTGACATTTTTCGGATTAAAATGAGCCCAAACACGATATAATTCGAATGATATTTACCATCCATCTTTTTTTAGTTAGTGCTCTACGATATATGCACAGATATATGATACATAATAAGTTGTTAAAAGTAAACATGTTGCGAATTACGTCCTGTTTGGGCTCATTTTAATCAGAAAAATGGCAGGAACATGATGATAAAAGTTTTTTAACAAAAAAGTTAATAATAAAAAAGTTTCACCGTTGCATTAAATTATCTCACAGATTAATCCGGTTCCAAATCATGTTTACACTGCTTGGCGATCGAACTCTGAAGCCTCTCAAGAGGTATACCTCCCAGTGGTGGAGCTGGTTTCTGTGCATTTATGGTAGAGAAAATTTGTGCATTTATGGAGACCTTACTGTATATCGAATTCAGCCATAAGAAGCTGATCATATAAATAGAAAATAAAACAAAGTTGCTTTTGAATATATCAGAACAATTAACAGTTTAAAATATTACACCATAATTAGCTGGATTAGCTGCTGGACAAAATACGAGATTACTTTCGCATCAACCCAATACATAACACAAAAGAACTTCGCGCAAAAGCCAACCTGATGTAAGATGGCCGTATTTCCTCTGCCACGTGTCGCTATCCAGCGATACCTCCTTCTTCAGCAGTCTCTTATTCGGTCTCTTTGGGCCAGCAGGTCTCATGTCTCTAATATCGCACCAAGGGGCAACGTAATCCGGCAACTTGACGTACTGCGCCGGGGTATTATGTAAACAGAGAATAGGCATGCACTTGTGCTCGAGAAGATGCAGCGCTAATCTAGAAAGGTCTGTGGACACCTCGAAGCCCACAACCGGCACGTGTAACATAATGCTGCTCAGAGAACAGCCCTTTTTCGTGTCCCAAATAATGAGACTCTTATCCTCGCTACCCGACGCAGCGAGGCTCCCGTCGCCTGACAATTTTACGCACGTGATGAAACCCAAATGGCCTTTCAGAGTGTGAAGATCTGATCCGGTGTTAATATCCCAAACAATGAGGTTAGCGTCCCTGGAGCCGGATACTACGATGGACTTGTCGAGGACGGAAACTGCGACGCAGGTTACGTGGTCCGTATGACCCACAAGAACCTAGAAACATTTATATTATTCGTTTCATTTCTTTTAAATTATGTTCTATGTTTTCATATTCTTAAAGGGTAACTCCACTCGGTCCCAGAGGAATTTTCCTTGAGGGACGTGCGTGGGGTGGGGTGGAGAGGGGAGGGGCGTGCCGGACCACGCCTTCAACGACAGGAGGATTCCGCCCCTTGCGGCGACTTTTGCCTCGGAGGGGCGCGGTGAATGTGAGGAGTCGGAGTGTGAGCTAACCCCGAATCCCGGAGGGGAACTGGTTTCTTTCGAGACGGGCCGACCACACGAGGTCTCCTTAGAACCACTGGGTCCTTGAGGAGCGCGTGGAAGATAGAGTGGGGAGGATCGGGGCGTGCCGGACCACGCCTTCAATGACCCCGACCGTATTGTGGGCGGTGCCCTCTTACGCTGTCCAGTGCAGAAATCTCCGGGTCTCCTGAGTCGGGCCGGACACGAGGACTCCGCCCCTTCCTGCGATTTTTGCCCTGGAGGGGTGCGGTGAATGTAGGGGGGAGGGTCGAAGCGTGAGGTGACCCCGACCCTCGAAAGGGGAAATGGTTTCTTTCGAGACGGGCCGACCACACGAGGTCCCCTTAGAACCACTGGGTCCTTGAGGAGCGCGTGGAGGATAGAGTGGGGAGGATCGGGGCGTGCCGGACCACGCCTTCAACGACCCCGCTCGTATTGTGGGCGGTACCCTCTTGCGCTGTCCGGTGCGGGGACCTCCGGGCAGTGATGGACATTCGTGGGATTTTTCCTGATCACGCGCATTGGAGCGAGCGTTGCAGTCCTCACTGCTGTATACACTTACTTAGAATTTAGGGTACTATTGGATCCCAGTAAGGAACAAAATATAATGTCCTCTTCTTTTCCTCGATGATTCTTGACGTGGACGGCTGCGGTTCATTATCCATTTTTTTTTAATTTCCCTTAATATTACACTTACGAAAACTAACACTCTTGTACTTAATTTGTCCGTTAAAAACTCGGGAAAATTGCACAAGCCCCTTAAATGCACCTCTGGCGGTTCGGATATATGTATGGTAGCAGACGACATGTAGCTGTGACGTCAGCTTACGCATGCGCAGAAAGGAATTCCACGAAGGAAAAATCCCACGAACGTCCATCACTGGCTCCGGGTCTCCTGAATCCATGTACCTATGTAGTTCCATGTAACCTCGGATTCTTCCCCAGGAATATCGGATAATATATATATAGCTGCCTTTTAATTTATCAATGAGCAGTTAAAATACAGTCAAAATACTCTAGCCCTTTAATTTATCAATAGACGCCATTTTTTGCAAAAAGGATTTTAATTTTCATTACTGGTGAATTTTGTTACATGTATATGGGATAAAAATTGTCACTTGAAAGTGAGAATTACTGCGGTACCTAGATCGATGGTCAAACGAAGAAGTTTATTTGTAATTAAAGAAATATTGAAACGTCAGTATTTAACCCTCAGTCGGTTGTTCTTAATAATTTTCTGTGACCCCTATTTGAACGTGTAATTTAATGTTTACAGTCATGCGAATAATTATAGTAAGATGATTGAAAAACGAACCTGCGATAATTTGCCACTGGCGAGTTGCCAGACTTTCAAACTCATATCTATGGAACCCGTAATCAAAGATCGAGAGTCCGGAGTAACCACGAGACAGGTAATGTCTTGGGAATGCGTCACCTGATACTTCTCCTCTGGGCCAGCTCCTAAGCTTACTATTCGTACTTGATTGTCACCTGTTCCACATACTGCAAACCTGAAAATTTCTTTTCGTTATAAGGTGAAATCAATTACATAATGCAACATTCTTAATGAGAGTAACCAAATGAAGTTATTGAGCTCGCTTTGGAATTGCAAAGGATTTAAAAAAATATATGTGTGTTTGGAAATTTCCCTTTAACTGTCATTCTCATTTTTAAGAAATTGAGTTTTACTTTAGAAAAAAACTTTCTAAATAACTTTTGTAGCGTCTCGTGAGATCTACAATGTAAAAAAGTTTCAATACAAAATGTTTATTGTTAAGAGATCTACGAATTTTTTTTAATTAGGCAACTGTTTATATATTTTTCCTCCAAGAAGAATTAAAAAATAAACTTTTTCGACAATTTCATATATATATATATTTTTTTTTAAATTGTTCATCTAAAATACTAACATACTATTTAACACACTATTTAGTAAATATTTGATAAATATACAGTCAGTCGCATAATTATCCGTACCTTGTATGGCTGTTAGAGAAATTTTTCTAAACTAAATGATAGGTTGATGTTTCCAAATAAATGTTTCATTATAAATATGCACATGAATAAACTTCATAAATATACAGGGTGTCCCAAAAATGTTGTAACACCTTGAAAGGGGTCGTTCGAGAGGTGATTTGAAACAACTTTTTCCTTAGCGAAAATGTTGTCCGAGGCTTCGTTGAGGAGATATTAACGGAAAACACTGACCAATCAGAGCGGGAGGATGCCTGTGGGCCGCCCATGGTAGGCGTAGCCTACACGCTAGGCTCGCGCTCTGATTGGTCAGTGTTTTCCGTTAATATCTCCTTAACGAAGCCTCGGACAACATTTTCACTAAGGAAAAAGTTGTTTCAAATCACCTCCCGAACTATCTCTTTCAAGGTGTTACAACATTTTTGGGGAACGCTGTATATATTTATAATGAAAACTTTATTTGAGAACGTCGAATCTGTAATTCAATTTTGATAAGTTTCTTCAATAGATAAAGAGGGTAAGAATACTTATGGGGGCCCACTGTATATTAGAAAAAAAACTGAAATAATTAGTAATTAGTAATTAGCAAATTAGTAAATAAATTTAGTAAAAAATGAAGTAAATGAGGGGTAGAAATGATTAGTGGCACGCACCTCATATCAGGAGAGACTGTGATGCAACGGCCTGGTCCACACACGGACTGAATTAAAGTTCCAGTATCGGCCGCCCAGACTCGAATTGCGCCCCCTCGGTCAGAACTCACAATTCTTCGGCCGTCGAACATTGCTGTTACCGACGTGACCGGTGCTTGATGTTTAAACGTTGCTACCACCAAGCCCAACGTCAAACCCCAAACGCGAACCGTTTTGTCTTCCGAACCTGTGTTTGGATACAGACTCTATTATATTGATGGTAATGATAATTTTAACACTTTACCGACCGGTAGTCGATTAATCGACTTTTTGTCTCCAACGCTCACCGACCGGTAACTGCTGTGGTAACTAGCAAGTTACCGGCCGAGCGGCTAAGCCGGTATTTATAATCTATACTATCTATACTAACAATATGACCTTGAAATGCTATCTTACCGGAAAAATTTGTTTGAAGATGATTGAATTATTGAATCGAAGAATATTTATATTTAAACATGCAAACAATGGACATACACACCTGAAGCGATGAATAAACCAGAAGCTGAGAATGCGATGCACGTAACGCTGGCAATATGCCCTTCGAAAGTAGAAAGCAATTCGTGCGTATTCAACTGCCATAGATTGACGAGTGAGTCGACTCCACCGGTGACCGCCATTGCTCCGTCTCTAGATATATCCAAACAAGAGATAGAGGCCGTGTGCGGATGCAAAGATTCTTGCTTGCCAGTTTTTTTAGGTTTGGAAAATGCTTCCTCTCCCCGGAAACTCCAATACGTTACTCGATTCTCGGCAGCCGTTATCAAAAAGTCGTCCTTTTCCGTCACCTAAAACAAATATAGACTACGATATCGACGATATTGTCAATGGAAATGCTGTTGCCTTAAAAAGTCGGGGACTTTGATTACTTTTTGTTTAGACTATTTTTCAATACGAATTCAAATTTCAGAGATAAACATCAGAGATATACGTCGGCCACTTTATAAAAATCAACTTGTATACAGGGTGTACCAAAAATGTTGTAACACCTTGAAAGAGGTGGTTCGGGAGGTGATTTGAAACAACTTTTTCCTTAGCGAAAATGTTGTCCGAGGCTTCGTTATGGAGATATTAACGGAAAACACTGACCAATCAGAGCGCGAGGATGTCGGAGTAGCGCACGCGGTGAGCGTGCGCTACGCGTTAAACGGCCGCACTCATACGCTACCACTAGCGCTCCACCGGTATACTCGCGCTCTGATTGGTCAGTGTTTTTCGCTAATATCTCCTCAACGAAACCTCGGACAACATTTCCGCTAAGGAAAAAGTTGTTTCAAATCACATCCTGAACCACCCCGTTCAATGACCTCTAACATTTCTTGAAACACCCTGTATAATACAGACAAGGTGTCCTATTTTAATTTGTACACCATAATAATTCGAAAATATGGTGTTTTAGCAAGAAATATTTCAACACAATTTTGACAAACCCTCTATGTCACCGATATACAGGGTGTTACAAAAATATTGGAGTTCCTTGAAAGGGCCGGTTCGGGGGACGATTGAAACAACGTTTTCTTTACCGAAAAGATTGTTTCAAATCACCTCCCGAACCACCTCGTTCAAGGTGTTACAATATTTTTGGGATACCCTGTATATACAGAGTGGAGGTGATTTGAAACAACTTATTTGAGCCGCAAAACTTTGAATCTGATATCAGAATTGCAAAATCAAAATGGCGGATCCAATGTGGCTGACATCTATATTAAAAAGTTATGAGATTTCTATGAAACTTGGTATTTTTGACTTTTTTGAACAGCAACCTTTGAATCTGATATCAGAATTGCAAAACTCAAAATGGCGAATCCAATATGGCCGGTCTGTGTTTTCCGTTAATATCTCTTCAATGAAGCCTCGGACAACATTTTCGCTAAGGAAAAAGTTGTTTCAAATCACCTCCCGAACCACCCCTTTCAAGGTGTCACAACATTTTTGGGACATCCTGTGTGCAGGAGGTAGTGTAAGAACCGGAAGGAGGGGGTAGGATGGGTCTCGCTTAGCCGCGAGAGGCGGGCCCTATTACTGGGTCCAGCCAATCCTGCCTCGAGCCTATGCTCCTACGGCTGAGCTCGCGCTACTCGGGCGCTGTGATTGGTCGACGGTTTTTCATTAATAATTCAAAAACGAAGCACCATACGACTTTTTTGCAAAGGAAATTTTCGTTCAGAATCGTCTCAGCTACCCCCCGTTTCCGGTTCTTACAACGATTCTGGGGCACCCTGTATGTGTTCTCATGAAACGTGTGACTAACGGAAAATTAATACAGCCTTTTTTATATACAAATAAATTTACTTTAAAAGGGCTCAAAATTAATTTCTCCACGCAATACAAGCGCTAAGAAACAGAAAATACCCTTACTTTGACTGAAGTAACGTCCGACGATGGATTCGTGGATAACGTCCTCGTCAATCTTCCACTGTGCATATCAAAAATGGAAACCTTGCCATTGGTTCCACCAACGATCGCTCTTCTACAATCTTTCGCCAGACAAATACTTTTTACTACACCCTGATGGCCTCTGAGCGTGTGAATCTCCGTTCCCGTGGCCAAAGATCTCAAGTACAATTTCTGGTCCTCGCAGACAGCCAACAGGAAAACAGAATCCGCTGATACGTCCAGCATCGTCACAGGCGACGGTAAAACGATGCACTTCAACATGGTGAATTTCTTTAGACACCATAAACAGACGGTACAGTCGGAAGAGCCAGATACAAGAATCTCCCCAGCAGAATCGACGCGAATCGAGTTCACCGGGCCTCTATGGTGGTCGACTCTGGTCAGAACCTCGCCGTTCTGCAAACTTGTCACGATAATTCTCGAATCCTCACCTCCACTAAACGGAAAACAGAAATTTTCGTTTATGTGGTGATTCTACTTCACGAGTGTTTCGGTATGAGTTGGTTCAAATCGTTCAAAGACAGTGGATGTAGAAAGCCAAAGAAAGAATCGAGTCACCTTGCCACTGTAGGTGATCACACAGTTGTTGAACATTTTCTCAAAATTGCTAGCAGAACGTGTCTAATAACACGTATCGATTGCTGATTCGAAAAGCTATCGAAGCTTGAGAACAGTCAACTTGCTAAAACCTAAGTTGCATTTTCAATTATAAAATTTACTTGATCGACAACAGAAAATAGTTTTCACGGATAATGTTTTGTCGAAAACAATTTTGACAAACCCTCTATGTCACCGATATACAGGGTGTTACAAAAATGTTGAAGTTTCTTGAAAGGGACGGTTCGGTGGGTGATTTGAAACAACTTTTTCCTTACCGAAAATATTGTTTCCAATATTTTCCATAACTCCAATATTTTTTAGACACCCTATACATCGGTGACATACAAGTTTTGTCAAAATTGTGTTAAAACATTTTTTGCTTAAACACAATATTTTCGAGTTATTATGGTGTACAAGTTAAAGTAGGACACCTTGTATGATTATACATTTTTGGGACACCCTGTATAATACATACAAGGTGTCCTATTTTAACTTGTACCCCATAATAATTCGAAAACATGGTATTTTAGTAAAAAATGTTTCAACACAGTTTTGATAGACCTTCTATGTCACTCATATACAGGGTGTCCCAAAAATATTGGACTTCCTCAAAAGGGGTGGTTCGGGGAGTAATTGGAAACAACGTTTTTTTTACCGAAAATATTGTTTCAAATCACACCCCGAACCACTCCTTTCAAGGAACATCAATATTTTTGGGACACCCTGTATATGAGTGACATAGAAGGTCTGTCAAAATTGTGTTGAAACATTTTTTGCTAAAACACCATGTTTTGGAGTTATTATGGTGCACAAGTTAAAATAGAACACCTTGTATGTATTACACAGGATGTCCCAAAAATATTGGAGTTTCTAGAAATGGGTGGTTTGGGAAGTG